CATGAATTAGTCAAAGAATGATAACATATAATATTTAACTAATGCTTTAAAATAAATAAATAGTTGTAATAGTCATTATTGTGTTCAAAACTATTAAAATCGATTTCAAATCGATTTCAAAAAGTTGCCCTACTTATAAGTTATAATCTCATTTGCTACAAATCAATTACACCAATTAATATTGTATTTGACTGAATACCCTTGTATGATCTATTTAATGTCATTATTTTTAAAACTATTTTAATTGAGTTGATTGAGATGTTAATGTAATCCTTCGAGATATAAATGTGAATAATATACACAATAACAAGCGTTGCCAAATAATATTTTGAAAATACTGTATAAATGTGACAAAATTGCCAAAAATTTCTGTATTTTCCTGTATTACAGATTATTTTTGAATTATGTAATTTTGTATTTTCAATGTACATGAAAATTTCTTTATATATTCTGTGAAAATTCCTGTATAACACAGGAAATTTCTGTATGTTTGACAACGCTAACGATAACTAATATTACCATAATATGTTATCAATTATTAAATATACGAATTATTAAAAGTTTGTTTTCAAAAAAAATTCATGTAATTGAATTAAAGTACATAAATTATTTATAATGTTGTTCCCATATTATATTATTAATATAGATTAATAATGACGTATTTAAAAACATTATAATGTTAAAGGTATATACTGTATATAAAATACAGATAAAATTACACAAATCAAATAATTGATTTTTGTAATGCAAATAACCATGCTCATTAATTTATTCTGGAGTATAATATAATATGTTCTATCAGTCCAAGTAATTTATTAAATTATTTTAAAATGTAATTATTAGTGTAAATGATATATAGGTAGCCTATCTGTCAAGCCGTGTAGATAAAATCGTAAAATTTCGTAATTTAAGTTAACATTCCTAGGCACCTGAATCCAAGTTTTATCAAGATCAAAGAAAGTTTTTTAACAGGCATTTTCCAAATATGTCGCCTATTTTAATCTATTTATATATTTGTATTTACCTAACGTACACAGATTTGATGATAGGTATATATCCTTTCTACCAATATTATATATTAGAAATGTGCTCAATAACTATGATTTTACTGTATGTAAACTCATATAAGTTTGAATTGAAAAACTCTTTCAAAGCTCTCCCGAGCGCATTTATATTATACAATATGAATTATATATAATATACTTATAATAATATATATTTATAATAATATATATTTACACTAATATATTCCAATGTTATATTGTTATATAACATATATTTTTTATGTTATATATTTTTATACAATAATTTATTTGGTAAAATACAGTAAATTTAATATATTGTGATGTATTATGTACTGTAATTGTGAATATATAGGTATATAGTGTTATTTAAAGTAAAGTTCTTTATATTAAATCAAATCCTAAAAATGTTGTATAAAATTATTTTTACTTCAAATTAAATTACTGATTAAAGTTCAATAATATCCTTTTATTACATTTACATATAAAATATAACATTGCTGATCTATTGTTAAACTTCAAATAACTACTATTTTATATTGCAAAGATATTATATTTTACAAAAAATAATCATGTTAATTATAACACCATTATTAGAAGGTATGGGATGTGATAAACATGTGAATAAAATGAAAGTATATCTGTATTTTGTTTACTCATTGAATGAGAGCTTAATATTGGATTAATTCTCAAATAAAACCAAATAAACAAAACGGTTTAAATTTATGTAATAATGTTTAATGTGATAAAATATTTGTTATTGTATTAATAACTATTTTAATAAAATATTGATTATTTTAATATTATAAAACAGGAATGGTAAATTTAATATTTGTAAGCATTATATTTATAATATATATAATTATATTAATAATTAAATATTGCTCATTACCATTAGATTATCAATGTAAATTTAATAATTTATGACTTAAATAAAACATATGATTTAATTAAAATACTTACTAAATTAAATATTTTAGAAAGTCACCAGTAAATATAATTATCTATTTTTGGTTATTATATTTTATTCTACAAAAATAAGGTATACCAGGTACTTTTACCATAATCAAACCAAATTCAAAATATTCTAATCATATAATAAACACATTTATATTAATAAATCTAATTTTTAAAAATAAAACTTAAATCAGTTATTTGCAAATGCATCCTATTATAGCTGATTCTGAGAAATAATTTATAATAATAATATTTTAAAAGTTTATGGCTTTGCATATTTATAGTGCAATTTATAATAATATGATAATTTAAATTTTATTCGCAATAAAGTTTCAGTTTAAGTAATGTTTTGTGTGTGTGTTTACATTATTTATAAATAATGCTGATACTTTAGTACAGTTTTGTCAATAATTCACATTTTATACAAAATATAATGATTATCACAAATATTTTATTAATATATAACATTAATTAAAAAGTAAATTGTTTGTTACCTTGACTGATTCACAACTTTTATAATTCTGAATATTTAATTCAATTCCTAGCCTTAATAATGACAGAACTTTTAATCAATTTAAATCTTAATTTACAACATTATGTTTTGTGAAAAACAAGAAAATATCTATTTATATAACTTTAGATTTTTATTACAATATTTAGCTGTAAATACATTCTAAAATTACTGATTCTAATTTATTTTGAATCGTTTATATTTTTGAGAGTTGTTTTTGTGCATAGCATAAATATTTTAATTAAAGACTAAACTTTGTAATAATTAAGTGAGACATAATTGCCAAAAGTAATTTGAAAAGTAGCATTTAAAATTTAAATAATAATTAAGCAATGATGTTGTAAATTGTGCGAATTGCAGTTTAATAGTTGCATGTTTCATTTATTGATTAATTTTCTAACAAGTTGTAAGTGTGAAAGTATGGTTGTATGTCAACAAAATATTATTCTACATTTAAATGATAAAATTCTTGAGAGGAAAGAGAATTTCGCATTCAATACACAACAATTTGATTAATGATTAATACAAATAGAAATCCGATTGCTTTATAATTGTTAATAACTAACGAAGTGTTTGTAAGTGTTTAAGTTTGAGTGTTTGAGTGGTTGTAAGTGTTGAACACATTATGAATTTTCTTTTACTTACAATCACTTGAATACTGAACTAAAAATACGATTTACTAATTGTTATAAAAATACACATAAAATAGTAAACAAATGCTAAGAAATATATTGTTATGTTCAAAAAATATTATTTATAGAATCCCAGAATTTACAGACGTCTCGTTATAATGTTTTAAGTAAACAAACTAACTATTAGTGATACAAAGTAATGCACATTTAAAATACTATTTTTTATCATTGATCACACATCAAGTTTCAATAATTTATTAAATAATATTAGATTAATCTAAATAAACTCCCATGTTACATCAATCGCTCATTAAACAATTAAGTGATAATTTATTAGTAATTGTTAACTACTTTTGCAATTGATATTAAATTAGACTTTAATTGTATTAATATTTGTTAACATGAAATACACGTACAGATAGTTCAGTGAATTTATTATCACAAACAATGATAATACAACAAACGATGAATTATTTGTATTGATTTACTGTAATCTAATGTTTATTATAATTGCATTGTTTTTTAATCAATTATATACAAAAGTACAATAAAACTAAATAACCTGTTAGAGTATTGACCAATTGTAATAGAATACAATAGTATCCAGTTCATATATCATGATATACAGTTACATTGATTAGTTTAGCGAGATAAAATTTAGCTATTAATTAGCCCAACGCTATAACACACTGTCAGTTCCCAAACAGCATACCTGTCCACAAGACTACTGTTTTTACATTTTAAAATAGTTTTAAAATTAATTTTATAGTAACAGTAGTTATAATGTTTGCTAAACACCTATCGATCGCTTTATTACTGATCGTCGGCACATGTTGTCAACTATCGACGGCCAGTCCAGTGGCCGCCAACGATGACAAGCAGCCCGACTACACCGGTTGTGACGGTACGGCCCCGACGTACCAGTGCTTCGGACTGCCGGCCGACTGTCTCACCAAAAAGGACTGTCAGGTATTGCTGAAGACAAAGCCAGAGGCCGGACAGGCGGCCGCTGTCGGCACAGTTGGGGCAGATTTTGAGGTGTATTGGCGTCGCGCCGGCGACTCGAAGGACTCGTGGGTAGGCGTCGGGCTGTCGGCCGACGACAAAATGGGCGACGACTCGGTCTCGGAGTTTATCATCGGAAAGGACGGAAAGATAGCCTTCAAACAGGGCCTCACTTACTGTAAAAAGACGGCCGACGGGTCGCCCGACTGCGGCATCAAAGACGTGGACGTAAAGGGTATTAAAGAGACGTCCGGCGCGTACGCCGACGCCCTGTTGACGGGCAAGTGGTCCAGACAGGAGGACACGACCGTCGATACCCTGGACTTTAATATGAAAACTAATAAGTATTATATACTTTTGGCGTACGGCCCGGTCGATGATAAGGGTAAGTTTACATGTTTGATAATTAAGCAGGGTAGATTAATTTGTTGTGTGTTTGTTAGGCAACCTCCAGCACCACGATGCTCAAATTGTGTCCGCTCACCCGGCTGACCTGGAAGCTGATCCGACTAAAGTGACCACGCCACCTCCAGCCCCCACCACACCGCACACACCTGCGCCAACTACTGGAGCCCCCGGTGGCGCCGCCACTGTCACCATAAGCTTAACGTTGGCCCTATTTATCGCTGTAGTGGTTATGTTTAATTAGACAATGGTGGGTGTTTTTAGTTTTTGTTAATTAAATAGGTGTTCTTTATAACTGATCAAGATTATATAGGGTTAATGGATTACTATTATTTTTTATTATGTTGATTTTTAATTTATTGATTTGTAATCTTATCGAGAGCTGTCGTCCCTCTTTATTATATTGAAAAATTTATTTAAACTGTATTTTTATATAAAACTAATTACATAATAAAATAATTTTCAAACCATATGTGAAGTATGCATCTTATATTAGTATAAATTCTTATTTAATGGCAATATTATTAAAAGTGTATGCTTTTTAATTAAAATATAATAAATTAATGGAGTATTATAAGCCATTTTTTTAGTTAATTAGGCATTTGTTTTGTGTGTATTAATAAATCATACAAAAACATCATGATTAGTTATATAAAGTACATGTTATTAATTGTGTTGATTATACACCAAGTGTGCGACCATAGGGTTGCCGGTGACGACCTGGACGTGAGTATGGATGGGTCCGACGACGACGACGACAGTCAAGAGGTTTACATAATATAATTGAAAACATGTTTTATATTTTTTGCTATTTATTTCTTCAATTAATATTCACTCCAGGATTTGGAAAAGGATTGCAATTTATTTTGATTTTGTATAACATTTGTTATTTAATTTCCTAATTACTCTCTATTGTTCCTAAAAATATAATTTCCTTTTTTCTCAATCCTGTTGATGTCATTAATTTGACTCTCTCTCTCTCTCTCTCTCTCTCACTCCAGGATTTGGAAAAGGATTGCAATTTATTTTGATTT